CACATAGAGAATTTTCTTTATCCATCCAAGGATCATCGCATTCAATCATGAAATTTACTGTATATTCACGACGACACGAGAAAGGAGTATTTTATTATCATCGCTCGTCAATCTCGCGTTCATCGCGCAAAAATATCAATCCAGTTGATTACATCACGCCGCCTGTTGCACGTGTGCATCACTTTTCGGGTGTATCTTATGGTTGGACGTTTCCGCGTTGCTTCGCTTCGCTCCGCGTTCGTATAGCAGCTGACCACGTAGGACATCGCGATAGACTACAATTTTTTTGGTCGTTGATGTTGTCGAAGTGACATGAAAAACACACGATTTCGAGAGTTGGATCAAAACACGCTGGGGCGTTCTTTGAATCAGCTAAGTGTATGTGCTTCGATTTTGGAGTTTGAAATACCTTCTCCATTGATGAGAAGTACGCCACAAAATATGTTGCACGATGTTCCACGGACATTATGAGGAGAAATGGAAGATATCAGTAGTAGTATGAGTTTTGTGTGTGGGCTAATGCCAAGCAAATTGACCTTCATGGGCTACTTCCGCCAACCCCTACAATCCACATATTCACACATCCATCCTGCAGTTCAATTCTGTGAGTTCCTCTGGACTTCCGATGGAGGCCAGAATACCCGTCCATACTGCTCCGATCAAGTTATCTTGCTGTAGTTTATCCACAACGAAGATTTGGACAACACTTTCAAGCGATATAATAATGATAATAATAATGTTTATTCACTCTTCATCATACATTTGACATTCAATATTTAAATATTTTCAATAATTTTTTTTTTTGCCAAGATAAGGAATAATCATTGAATCACAGTATCAATCACACTATAACGATATGATAATCACATTAATCACAGTAATAACAACAATTATCATAATATTTCGAGTAACAGTCACGAATAAACATAGTAGACCTATAGAAACCGAAGTTGTGCATAGGCTGTATACAGGGTGTCCCATAATTAGCCTGCCAAACTTCACCAGCGACTTCTACGACCGAAAATAGATAGAAAAGTTCGAATGAACATAGGTCTCAAAATGGCTCCTAAGGGAGCTACGGCCACCTCAAAGGGGGCTTCTGAAGATGTATTTCCTGAATATTTCCGAAACGCCGTGAGATAAAATGATGAAATTTGGTACAAGAACTAAACTTTTCATGCTTAATGCAGTGGAGATAAAATGATTTCAAAATTTGATTTATGAGTATTTAAAACAGGGTGGAGCTACTCTAAATATCACCCTAATTTTTTTGTATGCAATTTTTTCGACGATTTGGTCTCGGATTATGAATATCTGAACATTTTTACAGAAGAAAGGTATTCCTGTTCCATGTTGATCAGATGAACCATTTTCGATTAAAATCGATTTAAAAATATCAATAAATCTCAAGAATAACGCACAATATTGCCAATATCAAATCGTAGTGGCTATGGAAAAAAAAAGGGTAACAGTTAGTTTTGATAGTTGTCATATTTGTTGACACGCATGTTTTGCAGAACACACTAAGCAATTGATATTTGAATGTACATTGTATTGTTACAAAATGCCACAATTCACAAATCAGGAATATGCAGACATACATTTTTTGTACGGATTTTGTAATGGCAATGCACGAGAGGCTGAGCGAGAATATCGGAGGAGATTTCCGAACAGAAGAATACCTGGGCGACAAGTATTCGTTAATACTCATAGAAACTTGAGTGATCATGGCAATTTTCAACGTGTTCCTGGGCAAGGAAGACCTTTAAGAGGACATAACATGGAGAATATTCTGAATGTCATCGATAATAATCCGAACATTAGTATAAGGACTGTATCCAGAAATTTTAACGTGCCTAGGGCAACAGTAATGTGGAATGTGAGTACACAGTTTGGCGATGAAATAACAGTTGATTGATTTCAGATAGGGAGAATATTACAAATTCAAGGAATTCATCCATTTCACTACCAACGTGTGCAGGATTTATTGCCAGGCGATTTCCAGCCTAGGATTCAGTTCTGCAAATGGATTTTAGAAAATGAGAACATCAAATCGAACATTCTTTGGAGCGACGAATCCATCTTCACCAGAAACGGATTGTTCAATATGCACAACACCCATGTATGGGCAAATGATAATCCCAGAGTGGTCCGACGTTCTAATTTTCAACATCGTTTCTCTGTAAATACATGGGCAGGAATGATAGGGGATCAGTTAATTGGTCCTGTCGTCCTACTCAACCGCCTGACTGAATGCTGATGGGTATCATAACTTTCTTCAGAATAACCTAGGCATACTTTTGGAAAATGTGCCTCTCAATGTACGGCAAAATATGTATTACCAACACGACGGGGCTCCAGCACATTATGGACAGCGCGTTAGGGCATGGTTGAGTGAGATTTTTCCTGGAAGGTGGATAGGCCGTAATGGTCCCATTCTTTGGCCACCACGTTCACCGGACCTGAACCCTCTAGATTATTATTTATGGGGTCATATGAAAGAGTTGGTTTACACAAATGAAGAATTACTTCAACGAATAGAGTTGGCAGCAAGTGAACTCAGAGGAAATCGCTTTCAAATTCTGAGAGCCACGAGCGCAATAAGTCGTCGAGCGAGATTATGCATTGATAACAATGGAAATTCATTCGAACAATTTCTATGACCATTAATAAGATTTCGCATATTCATATCGAGGACATCATGCAATAAGGGCGTTCTTCACGTATAATGTATTAATCAGTATTGCCATAGCCACTATGATTTGATATTGGCAATATTGTGCGTTATTCTTGAGATTTATTGATATTTTTGAATCGATTTTACTCGAAAATGGTTCATCTGATCAACATGGAACAGGAGTACCTTTCTTCTGTAAAAATGTTCAGATATTCATAATCCGAGACCAAATCGTCGAAAAAATTGCATACAAAAAAATTAGGGTGATATTTAGAGTAGCTCCACCCTGTTTTGATTACTCATAAATCAAATTTTGAAATCATTTTATCTCCACTGCATTAAGCATGAAAAGTTTAGTTCTTGTACCAAATTTCATCATTTTATCTCACGGCGTTTCGGAAATATTCAGGAAATACCATCTTCAGAAGCCCCCTTTAAGGTGGCCGTAGCTTTCTTAGGAGCCATTCTGAGACCTATGTTCATTCGAACTTTTCTATCTATTTTTGGTCGTAGAAGTCGCTGGTGAAGTTTGGCAGGCTAATTATGGGACACCCTGTATATACGTATACATATATTATGTTCAATCGTTTTGAATATAGTATGCAGGAATACAATTGAGATTTGAAATCCAAGGCAGGGAAAGATGTTCACAATAATCAGGTTTGAAGATGTTGATATTTAATATATTTCTTCATAAATGAGACTTTAGGAAAGCAACTTAATTTTGAAAAACCAGTTTGATATAAAATTATTATTTTTATTTTCGTTAATCACAATCAGAGTGAGGATCTTAGACATTCTTGATTCCAATTATATTGTGTATAAATGATCTATCAAGATTGAGGATGTATGAATCTAATTTTTTCTTCAGCAGGTTAGTGGAGTTCGAGGATATAATTAGTTGTTTAATCGTAATATCCAGTAAGTTGTATATACGAGTAGACAAATGAGTAAAAGAACGCTGACCAAGGGATTTTTTTGCCATTTCCGTTTTCGAAAATAGTTTTGATTTTTGTCTAGTGGAATAATCGTGTTGTAGGTTACGAATCTTATTTTTATGTTTGTGAAGATATGTGTCTAAGCTCTAGGCAGCCTATTGTATCTCATCAGTATCCCTTCGAGAAGGCACAGCACATGATTGTCCCTTTCAAGCATACATCTGGATGCCTCCAACGTTCTTCTAGTACGCAACTGCAGCTTGGTGCCTTGAAATGCCCTGTACAGGTTCCGGTCCCCAGGACGGTGTCGCGATACTTTTTTCTGGAAACTTTCATACCTTCGACTTCATTGCACCTATTTCCTCAAGAGTATAACCGCATTCCTAGACCAGACTTGAACTTAGTTCGAGGTGGAATATAAATCTGAGCAATGCTCGACTATCCGAGCAAATTTTGATCGCTTGGCCTTTCCCTCTTTCACCAAGTTACGGTCAGCGTGACAGTTACTTTTTCCTGAAGAACTATAGCGTGTATTCACGAGGCGAATCTCTCTTTAGAGCCGATGTTTTAGGTGAATTCCTGCACCAAAGTCCTGCTCGGCAGTCAAGCGCGGTACATATGTGTAAACTGAGAGACTTTTTTGGCAAGATATCATACTGCTCTCCTCCCATTGTTTCTTGCTTAGAATGTGAGCGTGAAATAACTGTTACATTTCAGTCCATTTGTTGTGTTCTCCACTCTGAGAGTGCTGATAGAAATCTGATGAAACACCCATTTTGCAGCTTAGATTCTCGCATCCTCAGATAGGTCGCTATTGCCTTTTCTTCATTCTAGATTGGAAACGGTGGCAGTCATGGCAAATAGTATCGTCCTCATCCTCATTTTACCAGTTATCGCCAGGCACACCATCTTCTGAATTCTACTTAGCTTTTCACTAGTTCTGTTGGTCTCTGTACCTGGCCATCACACATCCGGTTCGTACATATGGTGTTAACAAGACTGTGTAGTGTGTATACCGAACAAATTCTTATAATCATCATATAATTGCTTCCAACTTCTGCAAGAACCTCAATCACAGATTCAAAAAGAGTTCTGCTCCATAACACCCCCAATTATCCTGTAGTTCGTCCATGACCAAGCACTACAGGAGTGAGCCAATCAACTGCGGCATCGCAAAATTGGAGGCCGATGCCTGTATTCTCTGGTAGATCTGCAACTCGCAGGGTTACTGATTGAATCAGAGTTCATAACAAGATGCTATGAACTCTGCCAACGCTCAACGTATCACGTTCCAACAACATATATACAGGCGAATTAATGACATCTGAGATCAAGCAAGAAGCGACATAGATGAATAATAAATCATATCATCCGTGAAAACTCACCTGGCCGATAATTTCATCCATAGTCATCTGAACTCCCGAGTTTTTCAGCTGGATCAACATACCTAGGAAGTCTTTTCGAAGCAAACCATTTTTTTCCCTGTATTCCACCGTGTCTTTGATAATTTTACTGAATTGCTTCGATACTTCCGGTTGAACATTCGAAATTCTCAGTTCTTTGGCTAGTCTTGGGAAATAAATCGTCATGAACAAGCGTGTCATGTCCATCAGAGTAAATTGCTCTAAGACATGTTTCCCAAGTCTTCGGAATTTTGCATCTGGATTCATGAAACAATTGCATTCCACACCTAATATCGTCGAACCTGAAATATGAATTGACCTTGCATGATGAGTGAGCTATTTCATAGCATCAACTCTCATTATGTTCAACTGAATTTATGTTCATACAGGGCGTGGAGAGGAATTCTGAATTGAGAATACACAGTGACAAACCTGTGATAAGAATTCTGTAGAAGTAATTTTGCATCGTCCAAGTTCATGTTCATAATATAGCTGAGAATTTTTCTATATAATGATGATGCTTTGGAATATTCAAACTCTATGTACATCGCAGATTGATGCTACCGTTGAACTGTCTTGTACGTAAATCTAATCAATCCGGTCAGGTGATGCCCATCCAAAATATATCCCGCTTTCCATAAAGGAGATGTCGACCAGCACATTATCAAAACTATTGCATCCATAGGAAGGCTAGGCTCTGGAATTCATTGCCTGGGAAAGTATTATCAACAACATACCCAACAAACATTTTAGGTATAATAAACGTCATTTCGACGACTTATTTGGCCAAAGTGAATATAACGTCTTATTCACTTCAAATTTACCAATATGGGGAAAAAACTGGAAGTAATTCAGAATACGAGAATAGGGATATTAGGGTATCCTGACCAATGAGCCCAATTTCAGTTATTAGTTTCATTTAGGTGAAATATCGTACTATATTCATATATCGTGAATCAATGTTACGATTGATTTTCATCTACTCATATATTATATAAATTATGCATTTGGGTACTAAAAAAACACAAATGGAGTATAGCTTATCAGTGAGATGAAGATTATGTGAAAATATATTTTTTAATATTATTGATTGTCAAACAAAATAAGAATAACCCAATTTTATGTATTTGATTTTCGAAATATATTTCATGTTTTGAAGGAAACATCCAACGAAGGAAATAGGCGCCTAAATTCCCTTCTTTCACTGCGGGGCGGTACTTACAAATAATATAGAATATACACTATGTCCATAAAGTCACCCCCCCCCTGGTTAACTATTGAACGGATGGGATTTTTTGTTTCAATTCTTTTTTGCTTCAATGGTAGTTTCAGTGCTATATATTGTTCCAAAAACAAAATATGTATCCTCCAAAATGGCGCCTGGGCGCCATTTTGGAAGATTTTTTTAAATGGAGTGGGGGGTCGAAAGATACCTCGATTGAAAGGTCTTTCGATTCTCTATACAACCTCAGAATCTCAGACAAAAATATTCATCCAAAACAAAATGGCGGATGATAACGTTTGAAATCTCACACCAGAATTCTTTCGACTGGATGGCTATTAAAGTGCTCACATGTGATCTTCAAATCATTATTGGCGTATAGAAGAGTTCTCTATCTATGAAGATATCAATAGAAAGCCATTTCGAAAAGAATAACATGGTAGTCACGTGGAATAAACATTGTTCTTTATTTTGAATAAATATTTCTAAAATTTTGCAGAATTTGGAAAGTCAATCGAGCAAAGGTATAATTGACTACCATGTTATTCTCTTCAAAATGGCTTCCTATTGATATCTTCATGGATAGAGAACTCTTCTTTACGCCAATAGAGATTTGAAGATCACATGCGAGCACTTCAATAGCCATCTAGTCGAAAGAATTCTGGTGTGAGATTTCAAACGTTATCATCCGCCATTTTGTTTTGGATGAATATTTTCGTCTGAGATTCTGAGGTTGTATAGAGAATTGAAAGAACTTTCAATCGAGGTATCTTTCGACCCTCCACCCCATTTAAAAAAATCATCCAAAATGGCGCCCAGGCGCCATTTTGGAGGATACATATTTTTTTTCTGGGTCAATATATAGCACTAAAAGTACCATTGCAGCAAAAAAAAATTAAAAAAAAAATCTCATCCGTTCAATAGTTAACCAGGGGGGGGGGGTGACTTTATGGACACAGTGTATATATAAAGAAGAACTAAAACGGAGATGCAAATTCAATGATTAAAGTATGTTTATAAATACACAACATGGAAAATATTAGCACCTCCGTAATCAGCCTCAATTTCTCAAACACACAACCAATGCTTTGTCGTGTATTCATCGACACACTTTCATCATCTCATCATGACATTGAGAACATCAGATGACCCCACTAGGACGTTACACAATGACATGATTATGGATTCTGTTTCAATATGTGACAGCTGATTCATCATCGCAGATACACGCACATTCATAAAAATCTTGATTTATCAGATATGTCGAACATAATCGATCGAATGTGTCAATGATTCCGATATCAATATGTATATCTGAATTGCTGGATTAGCTATGGCTTACGGACTCACCAACTGAGTCAGTAGTGAAACGTGCTATTGTGTCCAAAACATCGACATCAAGATTTCTCTCCGCGCTGTCGTCCAATGTCGGTATCATATTTGTACTGCATTGTTTCATAGCATCGTACATCATCTTCATTTTTGCGGATGTGAAAACGCTGGTGAACTTGACCTGAAATCAATCAACATACATCTTGTCTCACTGTAGAAGTGCAGTTTAGATTTCTATCTCGGATTTAGGTACCCACAACACCCAGAGTGGCATAACTTTATATCTAACATAAAAGTAGATAATAGGCTGAAAATGATACCCAGAATGTACCAGAACAACGCGTTTTATTTTCCAAGAGGCGATATAGAGGTCAAATTGGATAAAATGAACTTTCTTTCATTCGATTAATCCCATTTTCAATAATTGAAAATAGTGAGCCTCGAAGATAAGAAATTGTAAAAAATAATACGAATGATAAAATTCAACTGCGTAATGATGAAATACCCAATTGATCATTATACCGTGTGACCAAGGTTTGGTTGCACAGCATGGGGATCTCTATTACGGTACATGAGACACGAATTCGGTTGAATAAGATATAGGTCCGTAGTCATTGGGCTAGTCAAATGAATATTCAGGAAAATATCCTGAATCATCTATATTTTTTGAGGAAAAAACCATTTTATATATTCGTGACTGCATCATTGGACATATCAAGAAACTGAAAGAGATTCAAAGTCGTGGATATTTCACTTTCCTATGCGATTTTTCGTATCCGTAGAATAATCAACTAATACTTTTGATCCATTCCTGATTATGTGTTCACAGATTTAGAGAGCTTTTGCATCCTGAATACAATGATGTATCATGAATACAGAGCCTAGTTTGATTGTGTGTCATCCTGGTTCCAGCCATCATCAATGTTGTTTCGTAATTGCAACGAAATAGTATCATCAGTCCCACTTATTTCTAGTCATCTAGTGCCAGATATTTTTGGACTAGTTATATAATACAAAGAGGAAAAAGAGAATATTCCACTATATATTCAACGCAGCGCTTCAAATTTGTGTTACATGTTGAGTGATTTCTTACCTTGAGAATCTCTATAAATGAACTCTAGAAGAATGATCCGTGATTGAGAGCAATAACAAATATAACAAATATAACGAAATAATAATCATTACATACTGAACATGTAACCTAGTTTTTCAACTTAGGATTAATTTCATTCAGCAAGAATAATAAAAGGAATAAGTCACACTTGCGAACGGCTGCTTTTTGCCAGAGAACAGTTGATATGGATTCGAGGTTGGTATTCGAGTTTGATATTGAGTTTTGGACGCCACTCAATTTAATAGTAGACTAGTAGTTGATTTGGATAATTGAGAAAACCAAATAAATATCTAAAACTGATGGTGAGCAACAAATACTTTCAAAATATGTTTCCTGAAAACTTTGAGATGGACAACCAATAGAATGAAACAAATGTGTATTCCTGCAACCTAATTATTACACCCAAGCCAGACAAGGCACATTCAGACCACTGTAGAGGACGTCCTACCACATACTTCAAACTAGGTATATATTCGCTAAATATTGAGAACTTCTGAATATCTGAAGGATCAAATACGTGGGGAAATTGTCATTGGGGAAATTGTCATTATTCTACTAAGTGTTGAGCTGAAAAATCATCAAAAAAATGTAAAACTGAGACCGCTGTCTCATGGTACCATGGTGAAGCTTCACAGGGAGTTTCACACGTGAATATGGTAAATCAAGTTAATTTTTGAGATTTTGAATGGCCCTAACAAAAACCTGGTTGAAATCAGGAGGATGGTCCTCTCCAGAGGTCCATATCACCCCTATCACGGTCCGCTGGGTGTAAAGATGTTGGCAGCATAGGTGACTGCTATGTGTGAAGATCTATGCTGAACTGCTGGGCCCAGTGCTGCAGCCCTTGCTCCTAGGTATTCCTGCTGGCGTGCTACAGCAGTCAATCCAGAAGTCCAGCGTAGAAGTGGAAGGTGCTTCCACTAATCCACTGAGCTGGATTCTGTTGTCTCTCCTCCTTGGTATTCCTCCCGGCGTGACGACAGCATGCAGCTCAGAGGATTAGCTGCAGCATAATGAGAAGGACGAAATGGACCCCCTCTGATCCAGTGTGCTGGGTTCCGCAGCTCCTCGTCCTGGTTATTCCTCCCAGCGTGCCAACAAAACACAGCTCAGGAGATCAGTGGCAGGTCAGACCGACCTAATGCTTCCTAACCTCTCCTACGACCCTAGTGTATCAAAAATATGTCCTACAGTTCTATGTTCGTGGAAGAAACGTGGTACAAAAATGCTCCTGTCTCAAAACCAGTTGTTGAAAGCATCACTCACCTTCTGAGAAGGGTTGAAGAAGCGCCAAACAGCATCTCGGCTGGGGCATGCGGCGTATGCATGGCTCTCAAAACAGCGAAAACCATCCAAATAGGTGATGGTGATTATGACTGGCGACGAAAACGTTGAAAAAAATAATTTTTGTTTGATATTTCACCTGATGTACATCGAGTGATCAAAAAAACTACCACCACACTTAATGGCTCGCGTCTTCCATCATGGCTGCCCAAGAAGAGAGCTTCAGGAACCCCCAAGTCTCTCCAAGTCCACTATTTTCCCACCCTCAACATCGACCGCTCACGAAACAACCAATAATTCGAGAGAAAAAATATTTCCCCGCATCCTATTGGTCGAGATAAGGCTGGGAACCAGTAGGTCAAATAAACTTATTCGAAACAGGAACCAAAGACAAAAGAATCGCTCATTCTTCTTTTTCGCTTTTGCAAAACCATGATGTGAATAGACAATAAAGGTAGATGACTGTTTCTTCTTCTTCCTTTTTTTTTTCTCGGCGAGTCACGAAGACTATTGATGTTGACAACGATCAAAGCACCACGCTAGAACAAGAATAGGACATACCCAATCAACAAAAGAATCCTGGAAAATTAAAGAAAATGAATAATTCGAACGACTTCATCTGAAATTGTGAGAACCTCTAGAATCTCCAATGGCACCAACACCCCGTGGAACACCACAGGTGAGTTAACTGTTCTACCTCAAAACAGAGTAAGTCTCTAATAATTATTTTCCCCAATTTTCAGGACCTGTTCATTGGATCAGAGAACGAAGCCGAAGCTAAAATCATCACTTCCTACAGGTATGCTGAGTCTCAGGAAAAATAATCTGAATACTTAATATCTTTAAATGAAATACGCTGTGTGTTTTATAATAAAGATGATCTGATTCATCAAGGAATATCAAATGACTGAGTGTTCTCTGTCGGTATGTACCTTTTTTCATGTGAATATTTATATACACTAGCTAAAAATAAACTACTCATAAAGATAATAAACTAAAACTTATTGTAGCAATTTCAAATGCTACAAACATAGCATCTCATAACATTACTCCTTTGATCAATTTGATGGGAACGATTGTTCCACAATCTCAATCAGAGAGACTTCTGCGTGATTAAGTAGTTATTCAAGTGAAGAATATTGATGAGGTAGTCGTTTATTTCCGGAAAACTTGTCATATTGATAATTTGCGAACTATTTATCCTTGAAATTCTATCAATTAGAACCAGGTGATGGGGTATCTCTGTATTGACTATTTCTTCCTTAGATAAGTGGAATCTGGAATGATGGTTTCACATGGACGAAAACATTTATAACAGCTAGTAAAATTCGCATATTGTCAAGTTGATATCTGCCTATCATATGGGACGAATTACTCGCTTCATTAGCGACCAGAACAATTATATTCACCACTCTGATCAGTTGTCGTTATTATTCTGATACACACAGAATATTTGTTACATTGGCTCCAGTGAACTTTTCACTTGCAATTTGTCAATGAAATCATTGGCTAGGTGTAGTTCGATAACTACAAGGGTGATTCGTTTCACTTGGCCCTAATATGTCACTCACGTGTGGTGTACTTTCAACTTGCAGTCGAACAACGACATTATTATCTAGGTGTCTTGATTTCTACAATCCGACTTGTTCAACTCGTCTTCATCGAATAAGTAAAATGTAGATGGCTTTATGTGTCTTACCTTGAATACCTCTTATCTCATCTTCAGTATCAGAATAAACCAGAATAATATTGAAAAGAAATATTCCCAAATGTATTTATAAACACAATTCAGAATTTTTTTCCACGTCCTGTATGATGAATGTCAATTCATCATACATCCGAAAATCACCAGGATGAATCAAACATTCTCCTTATCCTCACTCACACCTAACTAGGCCTTCAGACAAGAATTGTAAGTCATGAATCATGCTTCATTTCAATATATTTTCATTTCCACTACAAGGAAAATGATTCAAATTGAATTTTGCAAGTTCCATGAGAGTGATATTCAATAATGCCACTTCAGAACTCTGTCATTAATATTATATATCATGAATTCGACTTGATATGGAGAGCGTCCTGAAAATAAGAGAGAAATCGAATTTGTTAGGATGAATGGAAATTGAACCATAGGTATGAATCTCTTCCAGTTCAAATTCAATGAAAAATCCAGTTGAGATTGGAATGCATTCTACAGAACATTATGAGTGGAATACAAAAATAATTGGAGTTTCGTTTCGCAGTAACCACCCGAATCAACACCTGTTCTCTGCAAGTTGTTCAACTACTCCTACAAATTGGGGATATTTCCGTTCAAGTGGAAATTTGTGAGAGTACAACCAGTTCCTGAAAATGACAAAAAGTCCCTATTTAGCAAATACAGACCAATCGCACTGCTATCTATCTGGAACATTCAGGTATTATCAACGATATGCAATATGGCTTCCGTCATTAGAGGTCAACTGGTGACCTGCACGTTCACGTCTCATATATAGGTATAGCAGCAATCTATTGAAAAATATGCTGAAACCTTAGCCGTGGCACTTGATATCTCCAAGGCATTCGATCAAGTCTGGCACCACGACCTCCTCGTCAAGGTTCCATCTTCTGACCTGCCTCCCTAGCTATGTTCCCTGCTAGCTAGATTTCTCTCGAAGAGGTCTCTTCATGTATTTGTCGACGGAGTTCAATCTGACTCTCTCATCACAAAGGCTGGTTGTTTCGCAAGGATCAATTTTAGCACCATCACTATTTTCACTCCATATCAACGATTTGTTGGAAGC